AAAAATTTTGTATTTTTATCAAAGTTTTTTAAAACCTTTTTTTGGTAAAAACCATTAAGTTTTTATTTTTTTTATTAATAAAACTTATTTGGTTTTGTTTTTTTTTTTTTTTTAAGGGGGTCCTTTTGGGGGTTAAATTCAAAATTTCCAAGCGCCCCCCCCTCTTGTTTCCTTGGGGGGCCCCCCCCCCCCCCCAGGATTATCACCCTCTTGTGCAGCTTAAAGACAGCTTAAGTAAATCATTGAATGATAAAATTGAATTTATTATGAACTTATCTGACATTAATGAACTTATCTGACATTATAGCAGAGTTCTTGTGTGCATGGCACATGCAGTGTAGCACCATGGGTAAGAAAATCTGGTCATCTATACATCCAAGGAATTGTGCTTCTGGAAAAGTTCGTACAGTATACATGTATGGATGACTGTTATCCGCCCCTTTATGTCAGCAGATGTAAAATGTTGTTCTTATTCTAGCTTAAAAGTCCAAGGCATAATTGTGTTTAATTTGATATCAGCCTTCTATGTTACAGTATGATCAATATTGACAGCTGTCATAATAGGGTATCTGCTGACCAGTGCCACATGACTGTATAGGGGGCTCAGGTGTACAACTCGTTAAGGTGGATGTTTTTCTTTTAAAGTTTTCTGCTGAACAGTTATGGTATTCAGTGGATCGCAGGCAAAGAAAACTTTACTTTGGAAAAGACATTTCTTTAAAGTTCCCACCAGGAATTTGTGCTAAATCTATATATTTTGATACCTCTATAAATGATCGTAGCCACAGCCTGGATTGGCATCCCAGTTTCTTACCCTTTATTGACTTGTTATTTTATGAAAGTGCTAGTTGTTTTATAAGTAATAAGCTTTTTGTCTTCAGGGCTGTGTCACAGTGGTGCTGATCAAAGAGACTATTTGTACTTCATTGCAGAGGGTTACTATAAGTTAAAAGTAAGTTTAAACTGATGCATCTTATCTGATCACCTTTACTGGTAAACTCTGTAAGTACCTAACTCCACACGTACAAAGTGTGTAAGAATTTGAGCTTTTTCGGAGTATAACTTTTCTGTTCAACAGTGAAGAGTTGTGTTCGTGAAAAATGTGATAAAGTTGCATTTAAAAGATATCAAGCCTTAGCTAAGGGTTGTCACTATATTGAATGTGATTGGTCAATTTAGAGGGCAGTATTCACCCCCTTGCCCACCCCCCCATATGTTAGGGGGTGGTGACTATGCCCTGTTTGTTGTACTGATTCCAGCCACGTAAAGAGGCAATAGGGCCCTTTATACCAGAGAAAATAAGCCGCGGCTTACCCTGGTCGTGGCTTACATAAGAGGCAAAAGGAACCATTTATACGAGTGCAGCTTACATAAGACGCGAACTGCTGGACAGGTATAAATGGTTCACAGCTTTGTTCGCGGCCAGACCAGTCCAATGATAACTTAGTTTGTTTTGGTGTGAGCGAGCGAGCAAAAAAACGAAACCACTGGCTTTGGTCAGGAAAACCGCCATATTTTACACTGTCGTTTTCTTTTCAAATTAACATTTCGGTCAAGTTTAGAGGTAGGCTGTTGAGAAACTTGTGCGGAAACCTTGTCGAAAAGTTTGTCAGCAATCAGTCAGTCGAGTGGATTAAAGGAGATATTAAGGTGATGGATAAGGTGGAGATAATGGACGAAATTTCCGGCTCTCTCATGAAGCAGGTCATTTTCCCGCCAATGCAGCACGCGTCTCTCCGCCATGAAGGTCTGATATATAATTGAAAACAGAGCATGTGCGAGCACGTGCAGCAATCATTCACAGCTTCAGCAAGCCGCGGAAAACGTATGAGTGCATTTATACGAACACTTTCACGTCTAAGTTAAGCCACGGCTTGGATAAGCCCAGCCCAGAACTCCTCGGCCAGGATAAGCTGCGCCTTGAGCTAGCCGTGGGTTGAATAAGCTGTGAACATAGATTTTGTACCATTTTTATACGGATGTTCGCGTCTTACGGAAGCCTTGGCCAGAGTAAGCTGCGGCTTATTATCTCTCGTATAAGCCGCCCTAATAACATCTTATTCTTACTATAAAAATTTTCTCTCAAACAAACTGTGAATTATAAGGGTGTACCTGAGTTTTCCAGATGTTTGTCAGAAGTACAAAAACTCAAGCTGTAAACTTACATGACTGTGTGGTATGCTGTTCCTCAAACTCACTTCATTTACAAGTGGTATAGGAAGTTATTTATAGTGGACTTCCATATCTTTTATGTGGCAGGAATATAAGACAGCCCTAAGATACACAAATAGATTGCTACAGATTGAACCTAACAACCGACAGGCAATTGAGCTGCAAGAGAAGATCAATGACCAAATGCAGAAAGGTTAGTTAGCCACTCTGGAATGACCACAGTGTTGTCACGATCATGACTGGGGTCATTATTGGTGTCAACTATGAAATAGGTTTTTTTCTCGAAAACTTTAAATGCCAGTCCTGCTCTATAAACAAAGCATTTCTGGCTAGTTTATAGACACTTAACCTCAAATGTCAGGAGACAAAAGCAGGAGGCAAGGACATCTCCCAAGCCTCACAAATTCTAGTCTTTTTTCTTTGTGTCATATCCACACTGAATAATTTTTGCCTTTTCTGATCTTCCCGTTGTTTTGACCAGATAACTTGAACAAAAACACAGAGAAACAAAACAGTTTGAGTTAGTGAGGGGGTTAAGTTAACGGGGTCGATTGCCAAATTCAATTTGCCATCCTAATAATGGTTACTGATTTTTCAGCACTTCAGTGTATGGTGCAGTGCCAATTTAACTTATTTCATCAGAAAAAGTAACAGCATAAGGCATTTTTTTATGAATAAATATGATAAAATGCGATCTGTTCATTTCACTTATTAAAATCAAATTGCTTTAGTGTTAACCAGTGTTAGTTTTAGTAACAATATCAGGCGAAGAGCCATACCATGGATGTACTGATATTAAACCATTATTATTATTATTATTATTATTATTATTATTATTATTACAAGAGCTAATGGGATGGCATCCGTGTGGAGTTAAAGGATCAAAGTTTGAGTTATCGGGATATATTTTAGTGACATTTTGGTCAAGGAAAAGAAATTTAGTTCAAGTAAGCGGGGAATTCGAGTTTTCCGAGTTCCAGTTAACCAGGTAAAAATGACCAGAAAGTGGGGTGAAATCCAAGGGAAATCAGAGTTAGTTCAAGTAAGCAGGGAGATCAGGTTATCCGTGTTGGAGTTATCACGTTTGTACTATATTGTCGTCTTTTATCCTTGCAGATGGTTTACTTGGTCTTGGCATCTTAGGTGGTACAGCTCTTGTTGTCGGTGGTGCTGCAGCTCTTCTGGGAATGGCATTTGCAAGTCGCAAGTGAACCTTTGAGTGTCATTAGTATTATTATCATGATTGTAATAAGCCTAAGAAAATTGAATTAGATTTTACAAGGAAAATATGTATCAGATAAGAGGCAATGAGTAACTTGGCTTAAATATTTTTATATTGAGTCAGTACTCAGTTGTATTATTCCGAAAATGTTCCAGAATTTCCTTCATATAGACATTATTGACTGAGTAAGGGCCAGTGTACGAGGTAAAATTAAGCTGCACTTCTATGCTTATTAAGCTGTGATTGAAGTAAAAAGAGCTTATCGGTAGATGTGGTCGGTCATTTACTTCTATCAGTGAGCTATCAAGCATGAATGCACCGTGGAAGCCGTTTATGGTCATTTCGATAGTCTAGGTGTAAATAGTTCCACGTACTTGGCCTAAAGAACGAAGAATATTTACCCAAAATGTTTCTCATGTTCACCCACAAACTATGCTTGAAGTGATCGAAATTTTTGTGAAATTTCACTGCTTGAATTGGTGCCGAAACGACCAAACTCGGTGAAAGCAGTGCAGTCATATCAGGGAGCTTAAACAAAGACATTTTTTTCAATGATGCACGTCAGCCGAAGTTGGAGTTTTTTATTTCTGGGTAGCGGTTTTGCTCAGATTTTCAGGCAAATCGTCACAATAAGAGTAAAGACACTTAGCAATGCAAATTTGGTAGCGTCAAGGTGTAAGGGGAAAGGCCTCACTTCTGGTTGATCTGCTTTGCTCAAAAACACCTTTAATTAAGCTCCTCAATAATAGAGACAAAAACCTCGGCGAAAACCTCCTATAAGATAATGCTTTCTTTTGATTTAAACAAGTTATATGGTATGGCATAGGAAAAATTATTATTATAATTATTATTATTATTATTATTGTTATTATTATGATTATTATTAGTGTTGTTGTTTCATACAATAGGCCCTACCCTGTTTATCAGGCCTTTCTCAGTGGTTAGGGGACAGGAGATACTCAGGCTCAATAAGCCCATTGCTAAGTTGTAAAACTGAACAAAGCATTAAATTAGAGCTAAAATCGACAGTGGAAAAGGAGGAAAACAAGTTTGTTATAATATACCATAATACCATGTATGCGTTCGTAAAATTTAAGCTTTAATATTTAAATAAGGGGTTCAAGAATGTGCAGTGGGCTATTTTTAAATTCTAAAAAGGAAAATGCTCTTTAAACTCGGCATAGTAGCCGATATTTTTTGCTTATGCTGTGTCTCATTTTCACATGATATTACCTGAACGCAACCACAAGTGCACGGTGAAATAAACATCCTTTACGCTTGCGATTGTGCTTGCCCTTATGCTTGCGTCTTTATTGAAAACCAGGCTTTACTAATTTCAAGTAACTTACTGGGCTCCTAGAGGTGTAGCTTATAACAAAATAAACTATTAAAGGTTCCGGCAGTATCAGTTTGAAATTTGTCATTTCGTTTTGTTTCCCAAAAATTATACCATAAGTCATCGACACTCATATCACAGAAAAAAAAAACAAAAAGTTATGTGAGAATTATGTCATTTATTCTTCAAATATTCATTAACTTGAACTTAGTGAGAGTAGTGTTTACAGAACAGAATAATGATACAATGATAATAAAGATCCCCAAAGAGAATATTGTGAATAAAAGACTCGACTATTTCATGTTATGTCCGGATGCAAGGCCTTAAGACTTTATTAATTAGGAGAGCCATCCGCTTTTCCCGCGGGCTGGCAGCTTTCGAGTTTAAAGAAGTCAATCCCAGCACGCAAAGCTGCCTCGTTGTCAATGAAATTGAAGCCCGGAGGGGGTCTTATTTCCTGAGGGGGTGATGTTGGAGAGTCTGTCTTAAACCCAGGGGCAAATCCATTGTAGGGACGTCTTACCCTGTTGATATCATCACTCGGGGACCCGGTATTGCGATTCCTGCAAAGTTTAGCGATGTGTACTCTTCTTTGAGCTATTTCCCAACAAGTTAACTTTTTACGAGGGAGAGTTGGCTTTATGTCGTTGTTCTTTGGAACTTTCACTTCATTGAAAGTAATATTCTGCGCTGTTTGGTTTTGGTTGTCATCTTTAATTACGGGGGCTTCGTTTGTAGTCGTATTTCTAGCTAAATGCTGTTCATCAAGATCTGTCGGGCAGTTTGCTGGCGTGTTCGTCGGTTCTTTTTGGAATCCGTTCCAAGGTGACGAGCTCGATCTGTACCCTTGGATTCCGTTGCTAGCTTCATACATTGAAGGAAAGAAACTCACTTTACATTCCTCCACTTTGTGTTTTTCTTCTAATGTTTTCGCAACGTTCTGAAAGAATAAAAGAACGCAAAAAGAAATTCACGCGACCATCCGCCTGTAAATAAAGGCTCCGACTCTCATAGCTCCCGGTCTAGGGCTTTCCACAAGTTGCTCGAGATTTTTCAAAAAGTTTCCCGTAATTTCTCAGAAAGTCTGTTATCGACAAGGAGCGATGAGAGATCAGGCCCAATTTTTTCATGTCGCGCGCCTTGTCCGTCGTATTTTATTTACCAAGCGAAACGAAAATAGAGCCTGCATGATCTCTTCGCAGGCCAGACGACCATTTGACGTAGGGAAATTGTGAAAATTGTTGAAGATATGTAATGGAAAATTATCTAGATTATAGACCAAGAGAGGATAATGTGACAGAGAGTGAAACGCCCAGTCTATCCCTTTGGATATGTGAATTTCACCAAAGCTATTTTTAGCCTGAATTTCAGACATTAGGGAGTAAGCGACTCGAAGTAATGTCTGAAATTGAGGCTAAGCTATTTTTAGACCACCGAAACGCTTGAAATTGATCGAAAGTTGGTTTCCTGAAAGGTGAGAAGACTTAAATTCAGTGTTGTCAAGAGAGAGTAATGGGACATTTTGCTCTGTGTGTGTGTCACCATTACCTTATTACTGGGCTGCTTGGCGGCAAAGTCCAATCGAGAAATGGAGGCCCTTGTCTGTGCAGCAAAAGACAACGGAAAACAGATCAAGTTACGTTTGCTGTCCTCGCTACAATTAGGCATCCTTTTTTTAATAAATGGGAGGAGGGTGGGTCATTTCTATACGCGCAAGCTGGAAGAAAGTTAAATCATAATATATACTTCAACTTAAATTCTACATTACACAGTCGGCAGCCCAATTAACCCCCNCAAGAGAGGATAATGTGACAGAGAGTGAAACGCCCAGTCTATCCCTTGGGATATGTGAATTTCACCAAAGCTATTTTTAGCCTGAATTTCAGACATTAGGGAGTAAGCGACTCGAAGTAATGTCTGAAATTGAGGCTAAGCTATTTTTAGACCACCGAAACGCTTGAAATTGATCGAAAGTTGGTTTCCTGAAAGGTGAGAAGACTTAAATTCAGTGTTGTCAAGAGAGAGTAATGGGACATTTTGCTCTGTGTGTGTGTCACCATTACCTTATTACTGGGCTGCTTGGCGGCAAAGTCCAATCGAGAAATGGAGGCCCTTGTCTGTGCAGCAAAAGACAACGGAAAACAGATCAAGTTACGTTTGCTGTCCTCGCTACAATTAGGCATCCTTTTTTTAATAAATGGGAGGAGGGTGGGTCATTTCTATACGCGCAAGCTGGAAGAAAGTTAAATCATAATATATACTTCAACTTAAATTCTACATTACACAGTCGGCAGCCCAATTAACCCCCGTCGTGGGAGTCTTGTTCTACATTGTTTGCTTGAGGCAGTAGTGCGTGGACTTAATAAACTGCAAAACAGTCGGTATTTTTGCGTATGCAAGTTCGTACGAGCAGTCAAACAAAAGGTCTGGAGCGAGGCTGAAAACGGAGAGCGAGACTCTTGCATCACACGCGCAACGGCTTCATAAAACTATGAGTTTACCGGCACAATAAACCATAGGTTTTTAACCAATCAGAACGCACGTACTATTTTAGTTACTTTTTTTTTAAATGTGATATCACTTAGTTACCAAGTTACATCGGTCTTCATTCCGTCCTTTCTCTTCTTTCACGGCGTGAGTGTTGTCTTCGTCTGAAACATCCCACATCTCCATTGCTACTGAATCACTAGGCTGAACAAAGGCAAAATAAAATAGCTTCATAGCTGAATCGTCATTATTTAATAAAAATTAATTCTCAATTGCAAAGCGTCGATTCCTTGTTTCTTTTGTCAAATGGTCTTTCACTTATGAGGAGGAGGAGTGACTGGGGGTTGCCGGGGGCAAGGGTGGGGTGGCTCAGTGGTGAGGACGCTCGCTTTCGACTAGTGTGGTATGGTTTCAAGTCCCGGAAGTGACGCAATAGGCGTAGTTAGCAAAGGCAACGCGACGACAGTGGCGACGGCGCAAGCAAATTGATAACCCGGCTTGACCTGGCTTGACCAACGGCAGAGCGGCAAATTGAGCACCGGAAGTCGAACTCAGTCCTTGCCGAGCGCTTTCTCCGTGTTGTCCGTTTTTAATTTACTAAATCTGCCTAATATGTGGATCAATAATGTTTCCTTAACTGAAATAATTACATGTGCATTTTCACTTTTGCTATTGCCTTTTTTCATCGTGCACGTACGGCTTTCTTGGATGAATTCACATGGTGCATAAGAAACAGGTACGATATATTAGAACAAGCGGAGTCCTTCTTGGCTATAGCCTACTTAGTGCATTACTTACCTTCCAGTACTCAGGGCTTTCCCCAGGGGAATTTTTGCAAGGTTGGTTGTCTCTAAGAAGTACTTCTGAATCCCAGAACTTTTCCTTTTAAAAAAAGATAAATACCTTAGTAATTTTATAGTACTTCTATTTTTAGTTAGCAAGTGCCACGTGTAACCAAGAGGGATAATAATTATCAAGAAACAAACTATAAAAGGCTAAATAAATTATATATTAAGGGCTGAAAAAAAAATTAAAATATAAAGGGGGAGCGTGGCACAGAGCATGAGAATATGCTTTATTATTTATTTTTTCCGACGAGCTTCGAGCGTGCCTGACGCTCCACGCCCTTCCACGTCCGCCTCGTCCTTGTTATCACTCACCTGAGA